AACAACACATCCCAGCTAACAATTTTTTCCGAGGGCTCTGATGTCCGATTTTTGTCGACATTTTCTGCCATTTCTTCAGAAAAGTTTCCGAGTAATCTGCGCATACTCGTTTCTTTTGTTTTGTTTGAACAAAGCAAAAGAGAGAAAAAAAACAGCGTATACAGAGAGTTATCTCTTTTTTGGCGAGAATTTCTAATGTTACTCCAGAAAAGTTTCCGAGTAATCTGCACATACTCGTTTCTTTTGTTTCATTTGAAAAAAAAAACACAAAAATTTCTACATCAGCAGAGAGTTACCTTTTTTTCTGTTGAGATTTTTTTACCGTTTCCGAGTACTCTGCATATGCTCGGTTCAAATTATTTGAGGAATTTTGTGTATACAATTTTTCTTTTTGGTTTTTTGATTATGATCAGTTTGTCGTCAGAATTTAAACGAAGCACGTGTGCAGTGTGTTGCATTAAAAAAGTTTTAATTTAAAGTGAAAAAAGTCATAATTATAAGGTAAGTAATTCAAATTTAACTAAAAATGTCACGACGTACTACAAAGAGAAATCTTAAAATACAAGCTGACAATTTATTACGCAAAATATTAAGCAAACCACATAGGGATGAAGAGATAGACATGGCAGAAAATATTTCTGTTAATCAGCAGAAAGAAGAAAGAGAAGCTCCCATCCCAAATAGTCAAGTATCGCCTTCTGTAAGTCATATGGAAGAAATAGAAGCCACCATCCCAAATGTACAACCGGTGCCTCATGAAGTATTTCAAGCAAATAATCCAGTTAGCAGCAATTTTAAAGCATTTTTTAGTGAATGGTCCATTAAGTTTTCAATACCAAAAAATGCAATGAACGAACTTCTTTCCAAATTAAAATGCTTTGACGAAACATTGCCCTTGGATATTCGAACTTTACGAGAAACGTTTTCGTGGCACAATATGTACCAAAACACAGCTGTAAAGGACATGTATTTTATAAGGCTCCTTAAAGGTTTGTATCCTTGTGTTTTAAACTCTTTGATAATGTAAATCATATTTTTTCATTTTTTATTATTTAGATGCAGCATTGGAACATATTCCGGGAACTATGGGAAGTACCATAGAAACCCATATAAAACATTTTTTTAATTCGGCTAAAGACAGACTTAACAAACGGCTGAAAAATAAACGAAAAGAATGCAATTAAATTATTTTAAAATAAAGTTATAGACCTTAGTTATATTTATTCACATTGAATTGTAACTTTTTATGTTTTTTTATTATATTTTAATTTCTTTATTCATTAAATTTCACAAAAAGACTGAATAAAAATGATCTATTATTAAATTAAAATATATATACAGAATCAATTATTTAAAAAATTGGATAAATTTTTAGTATTTCGGTTTTTTTATTACAACTACAGAATAAATTCAGATTTTTTTGCGAATTTCGTATCAAACATCCTATTATTTTCCGATTTTCGAATGAATTATTCGAAATTTTCCCGATTTTCGGAAAAAAAAACTACAGAATAAATTCAGATTTTTTTTCCGAATTTCGTATCAAACATCCGAAAAATTTGCGAATTTCGTATCAAACATCCGATACGTTTCCGAATATCGCATAAAACATCCTATATTTCTCCGATTTTCCGATAAAACAATAGAACAAATTCAGATTTTTTTCCGAATTTCTTATCAAACATCCGAAAATTTTCCGAATTTCGTATCAAACATCCTATATCTCTCCGACTTTTCCTTTTTTCTTTGCCAAATTCTATACGAATTCGCCCCGAAACTCTTACGTTCTTCCAGATTTTTTTCCGCAAAATCTTTCAGAATCGTGGGCAATCTCACACATTTTTTTTTCCGATTTCTTTCCGAATTCGACATCAGAGTCGGAAACTTGTGCAGAGTTTTTTCCGAATTTGGAAGAAAATCGGAAAAAAATGTTTGCTGGGATGTTCGTCGAACCAATTCGCCTGTGGATGGCCTGCTTAAGATAATTCATTCGAAGGTACAGGTCACCAATGTGAATAAACACTTATTTTACAAAATCTTTTGTCTCTATATAAGGTTATTTAATAAATCATTTTGGCTCTTTTTTGAGCGGCGGTATTTATATCTTTCTAAGGTATATAAACACATAAGACTAACCCGCTGGATATAATAAACCCAATGGGTTAATCTTCTATAGTATAACATTTTACAAAATTTTATCCGGATTATTGGGATTTGTTGCTTAATCCGGATTTATTCAAACAGATTTACAATACAAAAATAAGTCTTGTCACAATAATGATATTAGGGTTGACGTTTTTTGTCGATAGCGACAAATAATTGCTATTCGGCCCAATTACGGTTGTCGTTACTATAGTCGTTGTCGACTTTATGTGCGAGTCGCCCTCGCCGTCGCTTCGATTCAAAAATGGTATTATGGTAAGGCATAGAAGCGACATCGACAGTTTAAAATAAAAGTTGGCAACAATTAAAAAAACGTTGGCAACACTCCCTTGTTATTGACAAAAAAAGGAATAATTTTGTTTTGTATTTTGAATTCTAATTTCGACTCTTTCGGAAAAATAAAAAATATAGTGAAAAAAATGAAGATTATAAATGCGTTACATATCTTAAGTTCAAGTGAGGATGAAAAGAAGAATGTATTAGTAGTGCAGCGGCATTTTGTATTTAATATTTGACCATGAAAATAACAAAAGCAAAACAATTTGAAATGTTGGTTTCCAAATTGAAAAAAACAACATGTTTGGCAAAAAGGGTATACCAAAAGTAATTTTCCAGCTAATTTAAAATCAGATTGGAATCCATTGCAACCAAATTAAATGTAAACTGGTCACCGATTAGAGAATCCGATGGCTGATAAAAAGTATGTTAAAATTAAAATATTTTTCGGGTTTTGCCTTGTTAAGGCGAAGATCATATGTTTTATGATTTATATGTTTGTTTTCTCTTTCGAGACGAGCTTAATGATCAGGAATTTGCAGTGAAAAGGAAAGCCAGATAGACACTATCACACACTCACCACTATGCGACGCGTTTCGCCGTTGGTTAAGCGGCTCATCAGGCATATTTGGTGTGGATGATGGATTTCAAGGGCCGTTCTCTGGAAAGTAGTATATATTTCGAACTTATTGCAAATTAGCATATGCGAATTATACACTAGAAACTCTCCAGGTTCGACTCAAGTTCTATTGGCAGATCTTTTTCACAGCAAAGTTTTGTTTTTGTAGTGATGGATTTTTTTTTTTTGTCCACAACAACTACATTGCTTCCAATGCATACACTTGTTTTAGTGCTGCTTTAGGAAGACGGGTTAATGGCTCTGAACGTAGAGGCGGCAACTTCTAGTTGGCTGCACACCGAGGTCCGCGGTTCAAATCCCACAGCCAGGCTCGGCTGAATTTTTGAGTTTTGCCTAGTTAAGGCGAAGATCATATGTTTTATGATTTATGTGTTTGTTTTCTCTTTCGAGACGAGCTTAATGATCAGGAATTTGCAGTGAAAAGGAAAGCCAGATAGACACTATCACACACTCACCACTATGCGACGCGTTTCGCCGTTGGTTAAGCGGCTCATCAGGCATATTTGGTGTGGATGATGGCTTTCAAGGGCCGTTCTCTGGAAAGTAGTATATATTTCGATCTTATTGCAAATTAGCATATGCGAGTTATACACTAGAAACTCTCCAGGTTCGACTCAAGTTCTATTGGCAGATCTTTTTCACAGCAAAGTTTTGTTTTTGTAGTGATGGATTTTTTTTTGTCCACAACAACTACATTTCTTCCAATGCATACACTTGTTTTAGTGCTGCTTTAGGAAGACGGGTTAATGGCTCTGAACGTAGGGACGGCAACTTCTAGTTGGCTGCACACCGAGGTCCGCGGTTCAAATCCCACAGCCAGGCTCGGCTGAATTTTTGAGTTTTGCCTAGTTAAGGCGAAGATCATATGTTTTATGATTTATGTGTTTGTTTTCTCTTTCGAGACGAGCTTAATGATCAGGAATTTGCAGTGAAAAGGAAAGCCAGATAGACACTATCACACACTCACCACTATGCGACGCGTTTCGCCGTTGGTTAAGCGGCTCATCAGGCATATTTGGTGTGGATGATGGCTTTCAAGGGCCGTTCTCTGGAAAGTAGTATATATTTCGATCTTATTGCAAATTAGCATATGCGAGTTATACACTAGAAACTCTCCAGGTTCGACTCAAGTTCTATTGGCAGATCTTTTTCACAGCAAAGTTTTGTTTTTGTAGTGATGGATTTTTTTTTTTGTCCACAACAACTACATTTCTTCCAATGCATACACTTGTTTTAGTGCTGCTTTAGGAAGACGGGTTAATGGCTCTGAACGTAGGGACGGCAACTTCTAGTTGAAAACAAACACATAAATCATAAAACATATGATCTTCGCCTTGACAAGGCAAAACTCAAAAATTCAGCCGAGCCTGGCTGTGGGATTTGAACCGCGGACCTCGGTGTGCAGCCAAGTAGGAGTTGCCGTCTCTACGTTCAGAGCCATTAACCCGTCTTCCTAAAGCAGCACTAAAACAAATGTATGCATTGGAAGCAATGTAGTTGTTGTGGACAAAAAAAAAAATCCATCACTACAAAAACAAAACTTTGCTGTGAAAAAGATCTGCCAATAGAACATGAGTCGAACCTGGAGAGTTTCGCATATGCTAATTTGCAATAAGTTCGAAATATATACTACTTTCCAGAGAACGGCTTTTGAAAGCCATCATCCACACCAAATATGCCTGATGAGCCGCTTAACCAACGGCGAAACGCGTCGCATAGTGGTGAGTGTGTGACAGTGTCTATCTGGCTTTCCTTTTCACTGCAAATTCCTGATCATTAAGCTCGTCTCGAAAGAGAAAACAAACACATAAAATATTTTTCTATTTTTTTTAGTTAGTTTTCTAAAGTTCTTCTAGGTTTGGAAAGATTAAAATTTCTCTATATAAGGTTATTTAATAAATCATTTTGGCTCTTTTTTGAGCGGCGGTATTTATATCTTTCTAAGGGGGTATATAAACACATACGACTAACCCGCTGGATATAATAAACCCAATGGGTTAATCTTCTATAGTATAACATTTTACAAAATTTTATCCGGATTATCGGGATTTGTTGCTTAATCCGGATTTATTCAAACAGATTTACAATACAAAAATAAGTCTTGTCACAATAATGATATTAGGGTTGACGTTTTTTGTCGATAGCGACAAATAATTGCTATTCGGCCCAATTACGGTTGTCGTTACTATAGTCGTCGTCGACTTTATGTGCGAGTCGCCCTCGCCGTCGCTTCGATTCAAAAATGGTATTATGGTAAGGCATAGAAGCGACATCGACAGTTTAAAATAAAAGTTGGCAACAATTAAAAAACGTTGGCAACACTCCCTTGTTATTGACAAAAAAAGGAATAATTTTGTTTTGTATTTTAAATTCTAATTTCGACTCTTTCGGAAAAATAAAAAATATAGTGAAAAAAATGAAGATTATAAATGCGTTACATATCTTAAGTTCAAGTGAGGATGAAAAGAAGAATGTATTAGTAGTGCAGCGGCGAGTGTTAAGGCAACCAACAAACATATTTGCATTGCCTGGCTCTTGATTGTGTTGTTCCAAAAGTTTATAACGCTCTTCCAAGAGTTCAATAGTTTGTACTTTCCTTGATGACTTTTTACCATTGTTTTTTCTGGGCGATCGAGAAGTTTCAATAGTAGGTTACATCAGTCTCGTCTTCAGCATTGTCCACTTACTCATTTTCATGAACTATAACGTCTATTACCTTTATGTTTTCCTTATTTTCTATTCCAAGTGCACCACCTGGTCTGTTCAGTAACTTTTGAAACTGCATTATATTAGCGACAGACTCATCCAATGGCGACAAAGTCATTTGCTTAAAAATGCCACCTCCAGTGCTGCTGGTTTCATCTTTGTTGTGCACAAGTTTCTTTTTAGTTTTAAAATTTTCCAAACCTAGAAGAATTGTAGAAAACCAACTAATAAAAACATACAAATATAATTTTAATTTTTACATACTTTTTGCCAGCCATCGGAGTCTCTAATCGGAGGCCCGTTTACATTTAATTTTGTAGCAATAGATTCCCAATCAGATTTCAAATTAGCTGGAACATGACCTTTGGTAAACCCTTTTACCAAACATGGATTTTTTCCAATTCGGAAACCAAAATTTCAAATTGTTTTGCTGTTGTTATTTTCATGGTCAAATATCAAATACAAAATGCTTACAATATCAACGTCGACTAAAAAATACTCGGCCCAATTACGGTTGTCGTTACTATGGTCGTCGTCGACTTTATGTGAGAGTCGCCCTCGCCGTCGCTTCGATTCAAAAATGGTATTATGGCAAGGCATAGAAGCGACATCGACAGTTTAAAATAAAAGTTGGCAACAAATAAAAAACGTTGGCAACACTCCCCTGTTATTGACAAAAAAAAGGAATAATTTTGTTTTGTATTTTAAATTCTAATTTCGACTCTTTCGGAAAAATAAAAAATATAGTGAAAAAAATGAAGATTATAAATGCGTTACATATCTTAAGTTCAAGTGAGGATGAAAAGAAGAATGTATTAGTAGTGCAGCGGCGAGTGTTAAGGCAACCAACAAACATATTTGCATTGCCTGGCTCTTGATTGTGTTGTTCCAAAAGTTTATAACGCTCTTCCAAGAGTTCAATAGTTTGTACTTTCCTTGATGACTTTTTACCATTGTTTTTTCTGGGCGATCGAGAAGTTTCAATAGTAGGTTACATCAGTCTCGTCTTCAGCATTGTCCACTTACTCATTTTCATGAACTATAACGTCTATTACCTTTATGTTTTCCTTATTTTCTATTCCAAGTGCACCACCTGGTCTGTTCAGTAACTTTTGAAACTGCATTATATTAGCGACAGACTCATCCAATGGCGACAAAGTCATTTGCTTAAAAATGCCACCTCCAGTGCTGCTGGTTTCATCTTTGTTGTGCACAAGTTTCTTTTTAGTTTTAAAATTTTCCAAACCTAGAAGAATTGTAGAAAACCAACTAATAAAAACATACAAATATAATTTTAATTTTTACATACTTTTTGCCAGCCATCGGATTCTCTAATCGGAGGCCCGTTTACATTTAATTTTGTAGCAATAGATTCCCAATCAGATTTCAAATTAGCTGGAACATGACCTTTGGTAAACCCTTTTACCAAACATTGATTTTTTCCAATTCGGAAACCAAAATTTCAAATTGTTTTGCTGTTGTTATTTTCATGGTCAAATATCAAATACAAAATGCTTACAATATCAACGTCGACTAAAAAATACTCGGCCCAATTACGGTTGTCGTTACTATGGTCGTCGTCGACTTTATGTGAGAGTCGCCCTCGCCGTCGCTTCGATTCAAAAATGGTATTATGGCAAGGCATAGAAGCGACATCGACAGTTTAAAATAAAAGTTGGCAACAAATAAAAAACGTTGGCAACACTCCCCTGTTATTGACAAAAAAAGATATTTTTTTGGTATTTTGAATTCTAAATTCGCTCTTTCGGAAAAATAAAAAATATAGTGAAAAAATGAAGATTATAAATACGTTACATATCTTAAGTTCAAGTGAGGATGAAGAGAAGATTGTATTAGTAGTGCAGCGGCGAGTGTTAAGGCAGCCAACAAACATATTTGCATTGCCTGGCCCTTGATTGTGTTGTTACAAAAGTGTTCAATAGTTTATACTTTCCTTGTAGACTTTTTACCATTGTTTTTTGATCGAGAAGCTTCAATAGTAGGTTACATCAGTCTCGTCATCAGCATTGTCCACTTGCTCATTTTCATGAACTATAACGTCTATTACACTTATGTTTTCCTTATTTTCTATTCCAAGTGCACGACCTGGTGGATTCAATAACTTTTGAAACTGCATTATATTCGCGACAGACTCCTCCAAAGTCATTTGCTTAAAAATGCCACATCCATTGCTGCTGGTTTCACCCTTGTTGTGCACAAGTTTTTTTTTTAGTTTTAAATTTTAAATCTTTCCAAACCTAGAAGAATTTCAGAAAACTAACTAATAAAAACGTACAAAAATAATTTTCATTTTTACATACTTTTTGCCAGCCATCGGGGTCTCTAATCGGAGTCCCGTTTACATTTAATTTTGTAGCAATGGATTCCCAATCTGAATGAAAATTTGCTGGAACATGACCTTTGGTAAATCCTTTTGCCAAACATGGAAACCAAAATTTCAAATTGCTTTGCTGTTGTTATTTTCGTGGTCAAACAAATATAAAATACAAAATGCTTACAATATCAACGTCGACTAAAAAGTACTAAAAAATCGACTTCACGTCGACTGTTGTATCGACAATGATAATGGCAACCATTTGTCGCTATCGACAAAAAACGACAACCCTAATATCACTATTGTCGCCTCGACTTCATTTTGCGACGCCGACGATAACCGTAATAGGGCCGATTATTTTTCCGAAAGAGTCGAAATTAGAATTCAAAATACAAAAAAAAAAAAAATATCTTATCAACTTTTATTTTAAACTGTCGATGTCGCTTCCATGCCTTACCGTAATACCATTTTTGAATCAAAGCGACGGTGAGGGCGACTTGCACACAGTGTGACCGCTGGAAATTTTTAAAAAAGTATCACAAAAAGTATAATTTCTTGAAAAAGTGGCACATATCATTTAAAATGGCGGCACAATTTATTTCACATTTTATTTAAAAAGTCAGTTTAGAACAAAACTACAATTTCCTCTATATGTAATACTATATAGTAATAATATACGTATGTACATATTGCATATTTAACCAGTAAAGAAAGCCTTGATATATTTCCATGAATATCGTTGTTACAGAGTGAATATTACGGCTGCGGAAGACAAAAATAACAAATCGGATGAACAATATATATGGGAGCTATAGCTATATCTGAACCGATTTCGATCACATTTGGCATACTTATTTTCAGGCCTAATTTGGGTGCATGTGCAAAATTCCATACTATTCCGGCCGATATTACACGTTTGGTGCACAATAAAAGGCAAATCGGACGAAGATATATATGGGAGCTATATCTAAATTTTGACCGATTATGTCCAATTTCAATAGGGTTGTCCTTGGGCCAAACAAATGATTGGTGCAAAATTTCATCCGGATAGGGTAATAAATGCGAACTGTTCTTTGTTTTCAAAAATACGACGGACGGACATGCATAAATCGACTCAGAATGTGATTCTATGCAGGTCATCGTAAGGAACTATGGGTCTATCTAGTTTCCTTTTGACTGTTACAAACAAATGCACAAAGACATAATACACTGACAAGTAAAAAAGCTGTAAGTTCGGCCGGGCTGAACTTTGAATACCTTCCCCCATATGGTACAAATTTGGCAATTTTGAAAAAACAAAAATCCATTAAACATTCTGTGAAAATCTTAAAAATACCAAATGTAGCCGGATATTAGGGTCTATACGACGACGTGGATCTGCATACGCAACTTTTGTCATAAGCCTGCCCAGACAATTTTCTGGCATAGGATGTAGTATCCATTACGTAATATCCAAATACAAAATTTGAAATAATTCCGGTAAATAATGCAGCTAAAATCAACAAAATACTGTATATCGGGGGTACCGTAATATGGGGGGGGGGGTATACGAAGACGTGGACCTGCACAGACTATTTTCTGTCATAGGCTATAGTAAAGTAATTAAAAATGTATCTTAAAAGTTTACTTTGAGCATGCGAAAACCACTTACAAACACCTAATATAAGAGCGTTCGCTCTGAAATTTGCTATCGCAAATTGGAAATAGCAGCGTACGACGCTTTTCATTGTTTCATTTCATTTCATTGTTTTTAAAATACAGCGTTTAGATTAAAATATACGTAGTTTAAAAAAAAAAGGTGGCACAATGTTTAAAAAAGTGGCACAAAAATTCAAAAAATTGGCTCATTTAGGATCAAAATAAAAAAATGGCACAAAGGTATCAAGGCCCAAAAAAAGGTGGCAAAATTGATACTTTAGTGGCACAACGGTCACGCTGCTTGCACATAAAGTGAAAACGACAACCGTTATTGGGCCGATTAATGTGGTACACGATGCACGTATTTTTCAACATTAATTGTTCTTTTTGGCTACTTTTGGAATTCTCTTTTGGTTTGGATCATGGTAGAAATTACAGGTTTCAACGCTTTCAACGCTGCTTTTTGTTTTAAGAGGTTTAAATTGGGGCAATAGTTTTGTTTTACCCTCCTGTACTAGCAGGTTAAAATTAATTCGATTACCTTCATTAAAAAGTAGACGCATTATGTTTAATTGTATAATGATGTTAAAAATTTTAAACTGTACTGTACCATCTGATGTTCTTATTTCCTCTATTATAATAAATATCCCTTTTAGAAATAGTAGATATTATCAATTGTTATATACTGAATTACATCGCTCAAACTATGCGATGGGTGATTCTGTCGGTAAAATGAGTGTTGATTTCAATTATTTATATTCTTATGTAGATTTTGGTATGGATATATTTGCAATAAAATCTAATATGATTTTGTATTTAAATGTTGTATGTAGATAATTGTATTTTTTACCAGCTGATGAATTTATTTTCTTTAGTTGAAATTACTAACGCTTGCTGATAACCCATCATGGTGCGGATCATGATCATGTCGATGTATGTACCTGTAACGCCTAAAAAGGAAAATAATCCCACTTCCATTTATTCAGACTGTTGCTCAAGCAATAACTAAACACTTACCGTGATTCTTTTGAATATTTAAAAGCCAAACTGCCTTGTCCACTAAATATTATTTAAAGATATATCTTCAGGTTATGCGAATATAACTGATAATATTAAAAAGGTATTTATTTGCGATAATATTAAGCTTTTTTAGCTAATTACAGATTGTATGAGTTACGTTTTTATAGTATAAACAACAAGTAGCGTTTAAACTAAAATAGTGTCATCCAATTCTTCATCTTTTCCTGGTGGCTGAACCGCAACTTTTCTTAAAACCTTACTCACGACCTCGGACAAGGAATCTCTAGCACCTGGATCAAGTACTTGGCACACATGTTCGTAGACAGTCTCATCTTTCCTTAATTGTAAAATAGATACTAAAGCAATTTCAGCGTTTGATTTAACATATCCATTCTTCTCCTTTGTTCCGTTAACAAGCATTGGTATTAATGATTTTATCAATTCTATTGGCAATTCCTTTACGTTTGAAGAATTTGCAATATAATTGCAACATTTAGCTACCAGTTGTTTTATTTCATTGTTGGTATGATTCATTGCTCGAGAAAAGGTCCATAAAACTTGCGATGGTAATGGTTTTTGCGATTCCAATTTATATTTAATTATATACGTTGCTGCTCGTATACCGTTACTAGCAATTGAAACTTTGTCAGAAGATATATGCAAAATAATCGATGCTAAAATTAACTCTTCGTGTCCTGAATTTAAAACAATGTCTGCACATTCCTTAAGTCCTACAAATAAAAACACAGTTCGCCCGTGGTTGAATGCTGCATCACTACCTTCCTCCAGCAACATATAATTACGAATCAGGTCGTCTATTTCATGGCTGTGGAGATATTTAAGGAGTGCACCCAGGCATCCTCCTGCAGCTCCTCGCGTAATATCCTCCTGATGTCCAAGCAGACTAATTAAAGTTCCAATAACCTGTTTTTTAAGAGAATCAGACATTTTATTTCCTGCTGGAGTAATAATATTTCGCAGAGCATGCAACATTGTTTCTCGCGTAGCGGAGTCATCGCTTATTTTAAGACTGTTGTGAATTTCATTAAAAATTGGATCTGCCCTTGTATGAATTACAACCAATTCAGACAAAGCATATCCGGCTTTCATGCGCACCAAACGATTCTGATCGTGCAGTGCCTTCAAAAAAGTAGTTTGTAGTTGTGGCAAAAATTGTTTTAGCATGACACCAACTTTGTGAAGCAATATTGCAAGTGTTTCAAGAACTGCAGCTTTTACACCTGCATTGAATCTGTCTCCTAAGATTCTAATAAGCGGGCCAGTAATATGAACAACGGAAGGTTGAAGGGATTGTGCACTTGTAAGAACTATAATTTCTCCAAGACCTTGTGCTGCGTTTTCCTTCTCTTCTGGAAGACCATTTAAAATTGCTTCCCTAAACACAGGTAATAAAGGTGTAATACCCTTTGGTAAACAAAATCCCGGCAATT